ACAGGTTGTCGTTATGTATAGGGTTTCCATAAAGGTTTTTCGGAATTCAGGACAAAGGAGTCCAGAAATCCGGACTTCGCCAAAAAATACCTTAAATTTTTTTATAAAGAATGAATTTTGTTAATTTTTTTGCAAAAATACATTTTCACAGAAAATAATAGATACGCTTTGAGCATTTTTTCTGTTAGATACAGTCCGTCGATTTCAATCTGATACTCCAAAGGAATGTGAGTGAGCTGGTGGCTCCCTACGTAAAAACGCCAATGGTCACCTGATGTCACACCTGTTTTTGCCATATGCTTCACCCCCTCGCTCCTCATACTGAAAGTGTCAGATTTAAAATGTCGGACAATAAATACTATACACTTACTCAATTTTATTATTAAAATTTAATATTATAAAGTTACGTTGCGTGCAACAGCGCAGGGACCACACCTCAAATCACAATTTAAACGGACTTGGGAATTCCTGGGATTCACCGATAGCGATTTAGTACCTGCTTTACCACCATTAGCCATCACTCATCAGTCAATATATTTCCATCTCACTCTATGTCGTAGAGCAAAGAAAGACGATTCCAAAGTGCTCCGAGCGCCCGTCGAACACGCTCGAACAAAAATTTGACGTTGGAGTGACACTACCGGAGTATAGAAATGGGATACATTCGAAAAGCTTCCGTCAATATTGGTAGAGACCATCGTAACGATTAAAATATTCAACAAAGAGATTATTTTTACGATCTCCGAGTTTTCCGGACATTGTTCCAAATTCCGGCCGGACTTCCCCGGACACCCTAGAAACCCAAACATGTCCGGGTAAATCCGGACGTATGGAAACCCTAGATGTATGGAAACGGTCTAATATTTTCAGAACGGGCTTGAAACAAATTCACAATATTTCCTCTGGTGGTTTTTAGGGATGCCCGAATCAATGATGGTAATTGCAATGTTGCCAAGTTTACCGTTTCTAAGATGCCGCATGTAACTTGATTTTTTTAAATGGATACCCCTCTTTATTTTTATTGCAATTAATTCAGCGTCCCAACAATAATGAAACCCCCAAATGTCAAATGTCCATTTGACTTAGTTTTTGAAATATGGCAACACAGATTTTTTGTTGGGATGTATGGAAACAGTCTCGTATTTCAGAACAGGCTTTAGCAAAATGTACAATATTCCCCATTTTTTTTGGGAATCCCCGTTTCAATGGGGGTATTTGCAATGTTGCCAAGTTTACTGTTTCTAAGATGCCGTATATGTTACTTGATTTTTTTAAATGGATAATCCTCTTTATTTTTATTGTAATTAATTCAGCGTCCCAACATTACGAAACCCCCTAAATGTCAAATCTCCATTTGACTTGGTTTTTGAAATAGGCAACACCAATGACCTATTAACACAGATAGACAGAACAGTAAACAATAAAATAGGTTGACTACATCACAGGAACCGCATCTCTCCCCACTACTTATTAATCCTTGTGTTATTTTGTATCTTTCTCTAACACGAATCAGTGCGCACTGAGTGTATCCGCATCTTTTTCTAAACTCATGTAAAATATAAGGATAAGGATACACTTTTATGGGAATGCACGATTCAATAGTGGTATTTGCAATGTTGTCAAGTTTACCGTTTCTAAGATGTCGTATGTAATTTGATTTTTTTAAATGGATGCCCCTCTTTATTTTTATTGTAATTAATTCAGCGTCCTAACATTACCAAAACCCCTGAATGCCAAATCACGACATATAAGCGGATGGACAATTTAAAAAAAATAACGAAAAAGCTCATTTTCGACAGTTCAAATTCAATTACTGCAAAAATTGAATAAAGATGATTTTGACCGAAGACTTCAGTTTTGTGAGTTAATGGATAGGATGAACCAGAATGGCAACATCAAAAATCAAATACTGTTTTCAGACGAAGCAACTTTTAGTCTGCATACATGGTGAGGTAAATCGACATAATTGCCGATTTTGGTCAGACTGTTATCCGCAATGGATGGTGGAGACACATACATAACGACCACGAAAAGTTAATGATCGGTGCGGGATCCTTGGAGATTGCATAATAGGCCCATACTTGATCAAGGCAAATTTAACAGCTGAAAACTATTTACTTCTGTTGCAAAGTCAAATTATTCCTAGAGTCCAGCACCTATTTCCCACTAACGAAAATCTAAATCTACCAGCTGAAAGTACTTCATAGTTTCAGCAAGATGTACTCTTGTTAAATTTTGATCATAGTCGTTAATCGTTTCCATACATCTCAACAAAAAAGCTGTGTTGCCATATTTCAAAAACCAAGTCAAATGGAGGTTTGACTTTTAAGGGTTTCAGTAATGTTAGGATGCTGAATCAATTACAATAAAAATAAAGTGGGGCATCTATTTAAAAAAATCAAGTTACATACGGCATCTTGGAAACGGTAAACTTGGCAACATTGCAAATACTCCCATTGAATCAGGTATTCCCAAAAACCCCCAGGGAATATTTTAGATTTTGCTAAAGCCTGTTCTGGAATACAAGACTTTTTCCATACATTTCAACAAAAAATCTGTGTTGCCATATTTCAAAAATCAAGTCAAATGGAGGTTTGGCATTTAGGGGTTTTGGTAATGTTGAGACGCTGAATTGATTTCAATTTTTTAAAAAAATAAGTTACATACAGCATCTTAGAAACGGTACTCTTGACAACATTGCAAATACCTACCACCATTAAATCGGGCATTCCAAAAAACCCCCAGGTAGGGAATATTGCACATTTTGCTAAAGTATTTTCTGAAATACGAGACTGTTTCCATACATTTCAACAAAAAAATCTGCGTTGCCATATTTCAAAAATCAAGTCAAATAGAGTTTTGGCATTCAGTGGTTTTAATAATGTTGGGACGCTGAATTGATTACGATAAAAATAAAGAGGGGAATCCTTATAAAAAAAATCAAGTTATACCTACCATGCAGCAAGGTTTGGTCGATATAACGTTGAATGTACGATACTTCCCAACGTTGCATTACGTTGTAACAACAGTTGAATGTACGTTGACAGGACGGCACAATGTCATAATTGAGACAACGTTGAATGTGACCGTTGAATTAACGTCGTTTTTTTTGTTGGCCTCAATCTTATAACAACGTTGATCAGATGTATTCGAGACGTCAGATTTCATGTTGAACTCAACCGTTATCACAACCTTGACCAGATGTAATTAAGACGTCAGATTTTACGTTGAGCCTGAGGTTGAGCTCAACCTTTATTTACAACTTGAAATAGAAAAAATAGTACAAAAAACATGCTTCATAAGACATTTTATATCAAATTGCGTCTTATGAAACTTGTTCTATAGCTGGCTTTGTCAGAACAGTTTTCAATTAAAATAAAATCACCAAAATGTTTGAGGTTATAGGTACTTTATTCCACAAATTTTTTAAATAAACACAAACCACAAACTCTTTGACATAAAATTTAATATATCGAAACAGTAAGAGCAAACAAATTTGATCAAAATAAAACATTATTTGGAGGATTGTTAAAATTCAACTGGCATGCTCTTAAATAGGAATTGAAAAGTATGAAAAGGTTTCTATAATTTTGAGAAATTATTTCCGCCTACCACCATTTTCCACCAATCGAAGTTAAATCCAGGCTAGACACATTAATAAACACACAATGACAAAAATAATAACACGTTTTACACATTCAATAATTTTAAATTTACACAAAATAATAAAATCAACAAAAACCTGAGTGAATACGAAAAATGACGCGATGAACGTGATGACGCCAGCGGCCAGACGCCAATGCAATGATGGGCTGGGCCACGCCACAGGGCTCAGAGGGCGCTGTCGGCAAATGGCGGGACACGATGCACCTTAGCGGGAAGTTTGAATGAATTTGCATGGAGATACCACTTTATCTACTTTTAGGGAACTTATATAATATTATTTCACGTCGAATGTTGGAGCTTTAAACATTAAACCTGCATTCATAAAGATTTATAATAGGTCTGTTTCTGCAGAAATCACAAACCAGTCAGAGCGAATTTCATTGGTTGAAAACAGTCAGAAACAGTCAGAAAACTAGTTTCAACCAATGAAATACACTCTGACTGGTTTGTGATTTCTGCAGAAACAGACCTAATAATAAATATCTGGTTTTTTATTGATATTTTAAATTTTACTAATAACGTACATATATTTATTTCAAAAAACATTTTGAATCTCCATTCAACGTTTATTTACCATCTAGTGATGGGCTAAATCAAACAGAGAAAAACCAGTGATATAACTATTCAAAGTTGCTATACCTAGTCTAGATTTGATAGATACTTTGGTACCGATGGGTTCGAATTATTTTTTTCAAACTATATTCAACGTTGAATAGACTATGCTTAGAAAACGTTGACGAATACGTTGTTTTCATAATGCCCATTCAACGTTGATTTTTGGTATATCAACGCCTACGACATCAATCAATCTTTAATTAACGTTGATTCAACTACCCTTTGCTGCTTGGGATATGGCATTTGAGAAACGGTACACTTCGCAATATTGCAAATACCACCATTGAATCGGGTATTCCCGAAAACCCCCCAAGTAGGAAATATTGTAAATTTTTTTCAAACCTGTTACTGAAATATCAGACCGTTTTCATACATAACGACAATCCTGTATACACCATATGATCATGTAGGCAAGACAATTTTTTTCTATGGGCTTTATTCAAACAAGGAAAATATTAATAATTAATTCCCGCTCTCATTTATATGGACAATATGAGAGAGGTTCTCACGGTACAATAACGTACCTACAAATCAAGGCTTTTTTTTATATAATTTCAATTTATCAATGTCATTTGAGCGGATAGAAATTGAAAAAAGTGAACGCTGAGCAATAATTATTCAAGCATCTATTTCCTTTCGATAAAAAAATCTTCCTCATATTTTGAGAACTTGTTCCAGTTGGTTTCAATGATTTCTATTTTTTTTTTTTTCCATTTCAGATACCATTGATTAAATCATGCCATTAATTCCCTGAAAACGCTACCAATAAAAAATGGCTCTAAATTTCTCCTCTCCATTCTTGGCCACTCCTAATCCACTCCCCAACTTCTACCAACCACCTCCTCCTCCGCCTCCTCAACTGCCCACTCACCAACTACCCCCGTACCGAACCCCCTACCAATATCCACAACCTCAAAACCCATTTCTGGAGGAAGACTATCATCATGCCAACAAAGAACATCCAGGACCTTACCGGCCTCCAGTTACTCAACAGCAACATCCTCAACAACAAGGACCTCAATATACGCGAGTGACAGAGGACGGCGCTAAGACTAAAGTGCACGCGGTGATCGATTACGATTATGATGATGAGGACGAAGACGGTCCTGTGCCCCCCGTGACTCCTATTCAGGGGCCGATTTTTATTAAGAACGGTTCTGTGCCGGTAGTGCCGCTTTATTCTCATCCTGTGTTGAATAATGGGAGTTTTGTTCAAATTCCGGTAAGTAGGTACTTACTTGCTTTTTTCTTTTGGTGGTAATTTTTTATTGTTTTTAATGTCGGTGAGAGATTTATAGCAACAGATTCCTACAAGTTCTAAGTAATTATCGGACAATTGGGGCTAATATAACATTGACAATTAATTAGGACTAGTTTAATTACTTATAATGAGAGCTACAACAATAAAACCGTTAGTCTATTCACTCTCTGAGTGCAATTTTAGCGGTTACAGATTTCCTAACCCGTAGAGCAGTGAGACCAATTTTCTAAACTTAAATTTTATTGGAATGAATATCTAACACAAAAACCACCACTACAACAAGATGAATTGTCTACTTAAAGTTTAAATTAATGTTCGCAAAACTATAACATTATAATAATTACTGTTCGCTTTACTGTCCAATCAAAAACTCCTTTTCATCCATGTGGCGCGCTGCTTATATACCATCTCAAATCTTTTCGAATTTTTTCGAAAACTCGCTAATAGAAATTTCTGGTAGGTAATTTATTATTAGGTACTTCAAGGCCGAAATCGTCGAATATTCCTAAGGTTTTTTTTTCGTAAAATTATCAATATTAATAAACACATACAATGTGTCCATGCTAAAGACATAAAATCTCAATTTTTGAACCAATTTCTGAAAATACGCATCTAACGAGTAATTAAAGTTTTATTATAAGCTGCAATCATTGTTTCAGAATAGCTACAGGGTTTTTCAAATGATGGAATACCTTTCTCCAGAAGTATTATCAGATTTTTATTTCAGAAACAAATTTTACCACGTCGCTTGATTTGTTGAGAAAATCGAGTTTGAAGTTTTTGACGAAATTTTCACTAAAGCTCAACTTTGAAGCTTGATAAGTAGGAAACTCACTAAAGTAACAGAACTAATTTAAAATTTAGAACAGAAGTGGCTAGTGGTTGTGAGCACATTTGTAGATATAAAGGAGGAAATAGTTATTTACGTATAGTATTTTTATTTTGACTTGAAACACTGCATTATACGAGGATATTTCTACATCACGTCGCTCTTCTTCTATTAATTTTCTGCTTCTCTGTACAAAATATAAGCAGCGACGAAATAGGGGGTCAGTTAAGTTAGCCCCCCCCAAAGAAAATTTCTGGATGAAAATTATCCCATAATTTTGCTCTCATTTTGCTCCATTTTGCTCCACTAATTTCGATTTTTGCTCCATTACAGTGGAGAGACTATGTGGCCTATTAGGTGGGGGGGGCTGATTTAACGCTAGCCCCCCCCAGTGAAAATTCAGAAATTTGATCATGCTCATTTTGTTCTCCGAGTTTTGCTCCATTTTGCTCCACTATCGGCGAGTTTTGCTCCATTACCAGGAGAGACCTACAGAGCTTCCAAGAATCTCTCCCAGCCCCCCCCCGGTGAAAATTTTGAAATTTGATCATGCTCATTTTGTTCTCCGAGTTTTGCTCCATTTTGCTCCATAATCGGCGAGTTTTGCTCCATTACCAGGAGAGACCTACAGAGCTCCCAAAAATCTCTCCTAGCCCCCCCCGGTGAATTTTTTTAAATTTGAATATGTTCATTGTGTTCTCCGACTTTTGCTCCGTTTTGCTCCATTGTCGGCGAGTTTTGCTCCATTACCAGAAATGACCTAGAGAGCTCCAAAGAATCTCTTCTTGCCCCCCAGTGAAAATTTTGAAACTTGAAATTTCGAGTTAGTCCGAAATACTCCGCCTCCAATTTTACACATTCGAGCGAACATAGTTTGGCGCTCTCAAGCTGCTTTCACTTTCCTCGCCTGTTTCCCCTGAAGCACCTGTAACTGATTTTCAAGCGTTCGAGTGCAAAGCGCATTGAGTATAATGGGCGTGAAATGCTCGTGCTTCGCACACTGCACCCGAAAGCGGAATGAACTAGACAGCTCCCAGGAATCTCTCCTTGCAACACGTGTGAAAATTTGGAAGTTTTGCTCCATTACCTGGAATGACCTACGAGCTCCTAAGAATCTCTTCTAGCCCCCTTACACCAGTTAAAATTTTGTTTGATCATATTCATTCTGTTCTCCGAGTTTCGCTCCGTTTTGCTCCATGATCGGCGAGTTCTGCTCCATTACCTGAGCCTGAGCTGCTTTCGGGTGCCACGCTTTGAGCAATCAGGCGCTCTGAAGCTGCTCTCATTTTCCTCGCCTCTTTTTCCTGATGCACCTGTACCTAACTGATTTTCAAGCATTTGAGTGCAAAGCGCATCGAGTATAATGGCTATGAAGAGAACGGTGGTCCCTGGTTTCACTAGCTTTGTTTGTTTATTCGCACCAACAAGGCACCAACCGACACTTTCTACACCAAACGTGTTTGTTTATCCAAGGTTTATTCCTATATTTTTTTTTTGTATGGGTCTGACAGAGACAAACTGACTTTTTGGTGCACCTGGTGCAGACTGGTGTAACTTTGGTACAAATAGACAAACAGAGCCTGCAAGAAGCCCTGTTAGTTAAAACTAATTTCGATCCTTTTTTTTTCACGTGCTTCTAGAAAAAGACAGAAATAGTCTAAGTACGCACTGAATTTACAAATGGGAATCGCTTGCAAAAATAGTTATTTATGTCATAAATAAATACCGATAATCAAGCTCGTTTGCTCGAGCGCCCATGTTCGGAGCAGTGAAATGTGTTCCGAATGATTTTATATTGACATGACAGTGCAAATCGATGAGACAAAGATGGCGCCTATTTTCAAGTGAACAAATTTGACAGACGTCGTAAATTATAGGGACAGCCTTTTATTTTTCCGAAATAGCTATTTATGGCGGTGATCTTTTTTTAACTGTCAGTAATGTACCCAGTTACTTTCGGTTACGATGGTATTTGCTGCAAATCGTTCCAAAATCAAAATTCAGCTTACTGATTTACTGGCTTGGCAAGCTCTTGAAATCCACAATGACATATGCGCATTTTCACCGATGTAATGCTGTCCTTGTCATTTGACAGCAGCAAAACAAGGATAGGTTACTCATCAAGAGAAATGCGCATAAGCAATTGGTGAATTCAAAAACTTGGCCTTCCTTCAAGAACCCTAAATCTTAATAGAATGGCTTATCTAGCTGAAAGTGTCTGCCATGTTCACGCGAAAACTCCCCACCATTTGTGTCATTTTGACGTCAATGTAGACCTCAAGACTTCAGTGACGTCACGACTAGTCGAAAAGCGAACGTACGCCTTATGCCTCATTCTCACTTGCGCGAAATTCGCTCTTCTTTTGACATTGTTTCGACAATTTGACGTTTTATGCGTGTATCAAACGTCAAATTGTCGAAGCAATGTCAAAAAAGAGAGAATTTTGCGCAAGTGAGGCTTTATTGGGAAAAGCCATCCTGTTAGTTGAGGGTTGTTGGCCTTCCTTTATCCAATTTTCTTGCTCTTTCTTTCTGTTCCAAACCGTTCCTTGTTCACTTTGGAGCAGAACGAGTTTATCTGACGGCCGTTCCCATATTACATTAGTTGTATTCCTTTCACACCTAGGAGGAGCTCCGGAACAGCTCCGGGGCGTTACGCGCTTATTCCTTTCGACAAGTGTTTGTTGCACCCCGCATCTTTCCCTTTGAAATCATGTTGACTAACACCGGAGCGAGTAGCTCGAGTGTTCCAAACTCTTGAAAGGAATACAACTATTATGAGTATAGTCCGCCGCAAAAATATTGAAGGACCGAAGGAGTGCGACCGCGAACACACACAACTCCTACGCATTATTTGTTGTCCTTTTCTAGTCAACAGGCTATTAAGTATATCTCGATCGTTTTGGTAGGCTTGCTAGGTTCATAAAATCTGTCGCTATGAGTTCTGTCGCATTGGCTTCCTCTTCCCCTTCAGAGGTCGTCCGTCAGGATCTGTGCTGTGGACTTCAACAAAGGCGGAACACTCTTTCTCATGGAAACGCTGCTCCCCTGTTTCAAGAATAAGGACCCTAGAGGTCATTCCAAGTAATGGAAAACTCGCCGATCATGGAGCAAAATGGAGCAAAGCTCGGAAAACAAAAGGCGCATATAAAAACTCCAAAATTTTCACCCATGTTGCTAGGAGATATTCCTCGTAGCTGTGTAGTTCATTCTAGAGTCGCTTTCATGTGCAGTGTGCGAAGCACCTGGAGCATTTCACGCCCATTAGGCAATTTAAACCACGTGACATTCAAGATGGCGTGGCGGCCACACATGGGCCAAAAAACACAAAAAAGTATCTAGTTTCTGCCCGATTTAATAATTTAGGTACCTAGTCAACAAATATTTTATTAAATAATCAAAATCAAAGTTGCAAACAAAGCTCTAAGCAAAATAATTTGAAATACGCATAAAAACATATTCAAAACAAACTTGCTTGGCCGCCACGCCATATTGAATTTTTCATTTTGACAAATGGATTAAATTGCCTAATTATACTCAATGCGTTTTGCACGCGAAAGTTTGAAAATCAGTTACAGGTGCATCAAGGGAAACAGGCGAGGAAAGTGAGAGCAGCTTGAGAGCGCCAAACTCTGTTCGCCCGAATGTGTAAAATTGTAGCCGAAGTACTTCGGCCTAATTCGAGAGCGTTGAGCGCTCAAAGTGTGGCACCCGGAAGCGGCTCGTCATGGAGCGAGTCATGGAGCAAAACGAGCTGATCATGGTGCAAAATAGAGCAAGACTCGGAGAACAAAATGAATATGATCAAATTTCAGAATTTTCACTGAGGGGGCTGGGAGAGATTCTTGGGAGCTCTGTAGGTCTCTCCTGGTAATGGAGCAAAACTCGCCATTAATGGAACAAAACTCGCCGATAATGGAGCAAAACGGAGCAAAACTCGGAGAACAAAATGAACATGTTCAAATTTAAAAAAATTCACCGGGGGGGACTAGGAGAGATTTTTGGGAGTTCTGTAGGTCTCTCCTGGTAATGGAGCAAAACTCGCCGATAGTGGAGCAAAATGGAGCAAAACTCGGAGAAGAAAATGAGCATGATCAAATTTCGAAATTTTCACCGGGGGGGGGCTAGGAGATATTTTTGGGAGCTCTGTAAGTCTCTCCTGGTAATAGAGCAAAACTCGCCGATAATGGAGCAAAACGGAGCAAAACTCGAAGAACAAAATGAACATGAGCAAATTTAAAAAAATTCACCGGGGGGGGCTAGGAGAGATTTTTGGGAGCTCTGTAGGTCTCTCCTGGTAATGGAGCAAAACTCGCCGATAGTGGAGCAAAATGGAGCAAAACTCGGAGAAGAAAATGAGTATGATCAAATTTCGAAATTTTCACCGGGGGGGGCTGGGAGAGATTCTTGGAAGCTCTGTAGGTCTCTCCTGGTAATGGAGCAAAACTCGCCGATAGTGGAGCAAAATGGAGCAAAACTCGGAGAAGAAAATGAGCATGATCAAATTTCGAAATTTTCACCGGGGGGGGGGGCTGGGAGAGATTCTTGGAAGCTCTGTAGGTCTCTCCTGGTAATGGAGCAAAACTCGCCGATTATGGAGCAAAATGGAGCAAAACTCGGAGAACAAAATGAGCATGATCAAATTTCAAAATTTTCACCGGGGGGGGCTGGGAGAGATTCTTGGAAGCTCTGTAGGTCTCTCCTGATAATGGAGCAAAACTCGCCGATTATGGAGCAAAATGGAGCAAAACTCGGAGAACAAAATGAGCATGATCAAATTTCTGAATTTTCACTGGGGGGGGCTAGCGTTAATTCAGCCCCCCCCACCTAATAGGCCACATAGTCTCTCCACTGTAATGGAGCAAAAATCGAAATTAGTGGAGCAAAATGGAGCAAAATGAGAGCAAAATTATGGGATAATTTTCATCCAGAAATTTTCTATGGGGGGGGCTAACTTAACTGACCCCGAAATAGGTGCCTGGCTAACTAAATTTTTATAACCAGTGTCATCCCAATTCATATATCATTTGCTGTTTTATCCACGTATTATTTAGTTGTGTTGTTTGATATTTTATCATCACCATTTGAAGAAATTAAAATTATGTGACGCTCGTTTCCTTTATTTGTTTGATGTATGCCGACTAGATGTTTTTTTAGTGTTTCAAGTCGGAATAAAAATACCATACCAAGGGCGCAATAAGGGTGTTTGCGCCTGTGGTACACACAAAATTTGATGCACGACTGCGAATGATAATTATGTTTGAATTCAAATATTATTTTAGGAAAATTATTAATAAATTAATAATTAAAGAACGCACCCGCAAAGTCAAATAATGAACAAATCTGGTGGTTATTCGTAGAAACTGCAGTTACCTACCAATTAAACATTCAATTTCATCATTTTTGGTTCATTTTGAAGGGTAAAAATAACCAATTCGCGTCAGTATTTGTTCAATTTTTTAGGCCTACATCATGGTGGCACTTTGCGGCCCGCCGGGAAATTAGAGCTCAAATGGGTGCTTTGCGATCCGGTCGTACATAAATGAGTTTAATATTCTGCGAATTTTTTTAAAAATTATTAATAAGCGTTTTCGACCGCATTCTATCAGACACACTATTCTTAAATTTAACACATAGAACTGTATTACAAAGATTAGACCTAAACCAACTGAGAATAGTACTCTCAACTCCCATATTTTCCAACTTTTTTTTTATTATTATCATTATTATTATATAGCATTTATTGTTTTAAAGAAAAAATATACATTCAATTTTTTTTTTTTACTTAACAATAAATACAGAATTCAACCCCACAAGAGAAGTTTCTCGTCTGTTTTAGCAATATATCTCTATTAACAGTTTCAAATGCTCTCTTAAAATCTAGAAAAACAGCTAACACAATTTTATCACAGTCAATTGCCTTGAGGAAATCATCGCAGATGCTCACAATAACAGTCTCACAAGAGTGTTTTTCACGAAAACCTGACTGATTTGAGACCAATATCCGGTTTCTATCACAGTGTTGTTGGAGCTGCTCCTATTCACTACCATTTCCAGAACTTTTTTATACACAGGTACAGTGTTTATAGGTCTAAACTCTTTATGCTGTTTTGTATTGTTTACCTCAAAATTTCTTTCAATTTGCTCATAGATATTTTCTGAAACTGAATAAAGGCACCATGCGTGATATGATGTTGATGCCTGATAGCAGAATTAGCACCCCTGATTTTTGGCAGATTGTCAATTTAGTCCAGAAATACTATACCGATGAAAAATTTATTGGCAATTTTCATTTCATCCACCAAAATTAGGCCGACAAATACAACCTCTTTAGGAGAATGGTGGAATGGTGGTTCTTTCCAGGAAGCATTGTTTTAAGGTTCTTCCATAATTTTCTTGGATTATGCTTATTTCCGTCCATGACTTCTTGATAGTGTTTTTCCTTTTCAATCTTAATCTGGCTTACAATTTCATTCCTTTTCATCTTATACTCATTTCAAACAATATCATCCCTTACAATAACAGCTCTCCCATATAATGCATCCCTTTCCTTCATCATTTCCTTTACTCCATGTGTAATCCAGTGCTTATCAATGTACTTCTGCTTGATACATATTTTTGTTCTTGGGCACATTATTTCTAATATGTTTGTTATATCGGGTCTTCAAAAAAAAAAAAAACAATCAAAGATTGCTATGATTTTTTGAACGTATGTCTTAGCAATATTTTTTTCTTTAATTTTATCAATGAACTTCAATGTCAAAATGTCATGTCAAAAATCCTGACCAATAAAGAAACAATAATGCAACGTACGTTTTCATAATCAAAGCAATCTTTGATTGTTTTTTTTTTTTGAAGACCCGATACTATGTACAAATGAATCTGCCAATACTTTAATATCGGTTACTTACATTGTTATTCCATGTTGTGTTACAGAGAGCATCCTGGAAATTTTCCAAATTATAATTCCTCAGTTCTTTCCTCCAAATGACAACATCACTGCCTACTTCGGACTCACAGTCAAGATGGAATGATCGCTAATTTTGTATGGTGCATTTAATGTGTGATGCGTTTGTCATTGGTCACAATGTAATCGATTAAAGTTGCACTGGTTCCTGTAATTCGAGTTGGGAAGCTAACAATTTGATTGAATCCATTTGAATATATACAGTTTTCAACAATTTATTTCTATAAAAATAATCCTTCAAGAGATCAAAATTGAAATCACCCATTATAACATTAGTACCCTTTAAAACACTCACCCGATCAAGGTCATCTACAAAGAAGTCAACAAAATTTTCATTTTCTTTCTGGTGCGGATGGTACAACACGGTGCATAGAAACTTGGAATTTGTTGAGCCTAGTCAAGAGATAACAACCATACATAGTTCTGGACATACTGCACTATTTTGATTTTATATTTAACGTCAGTTCTTATTAGGGCCATGACTCCCCCAGTTCTTCGGTTAGTTGTTACACATTGCTCCAAATTATATTCATCAATCTTCAGTTCTATTGGATCAAAATTTTCAGTCACATGGGTTTCTGAACAGTAATGTTGGTTGCCAATCCCCAACCAAAACAGTTATGTTGTCTTTATTCTTGAGATAACCTTGGCAATTGACACACACAACACTGGAGTTTAGAACTGTAATGTATTATATAAGAAAAATAGAGAGCAGTAATTAAATTAACATAATAAATAATATAAACCTAATACCTATATAGATCTAAGTACTTAACATCATAGAATAAAAATCACATTCCTTCCTTCTAAATTTAAAACTATTAATTTAACCGTTGGGGAATTTTAATTTCTCTTTTAGACTTTCTCAAAAATTCAGGAAAATCGCCAGAATTATTATCAATATCAGTATCTACAAACTGACTAGGTTTTTCCACACCCTTGGAACTATCAGAAACAAAAACTAGTGATTCACATTCGTTATGAATCAATTGTGGCACTTTACCCTTAGGCAAGATGTCCAATTCCCTAATCTTAGAGTCCTCTAGATTATTTTCATTAGCAGACTGCAAATCTTTTTCTGACAATGTTTCATCTACAATCAAATGTTTACCAATTTTCGATTCCAATTCATCATAGAAACTACCTAACTCAATAATTTGATCGCTACGCCTACGCCATTTTAGATTTTTGTTTTCAACAGGTTGACAAATATAAGTAGCACATCCCACCTTGCCTATTATGGTAGCTTTTCACCCAGACTGGTTTGTTCAAATTTCTATAATCTTTTGTATATACTAAGTAATTCTCCCTCTTCCAAAACATGTCGGTTACCATGATGAAATTTAATTCGATTTTCCCTAGCCTTTTCTCTCCTAGAATCAGTTGGAAAATCGAGCCGTGTTTTCACATTTCTGTCTGTTGAACATTAATTTTGGAGGCATTTCTCCCGTAACGCAATGAGGTGTATTACGATATGAAAAAAGGTATTTACTAATCAGGTTAGAAAGATCTCAAAATTTTGTCAAATTATCTGTTAAATATTTATTCAGCGAACTCTTGAAAGTTTTTACCGAATTTTCAGCTGCACCATTAGTTGCCGGGTGATATGGAGTAGACGTTCTATGAGTAATCTGCAAAATTTCTCAAATTCTTCACTCACAAGTTGTGTCCTGTTATCACTTATAATAGTATTTGGTAATCCAAACCTTGAAAAACAATCTCTCAAGTTTTCTAAAGTGTTATTTGAGTCAATTCTAGTCATCCCATAAACTTCAAACCACTTTGAATAAAAATCAAATATAATTAAAAACATTTTTCCCAAGGAGCAAACCACCTAGGAATTATTTGCCAAAAATGTGAGGAATTTAGAGGAATTTGTGGGGAATTTGAAGAAGCTCATCGGAATTTATGAGAATTTGGGGAATTTATAGGGAATTCGAAGAAATTTATGGGGAATTTGGAGGAATTTGTGAGGAATTTGAAGGAAATTGTCGAGTCATGACTTCACTGAGGTTCACATTCTTATTATAAGAAACATTAATAAATGGAAATTTAAAAAAAATCCAGTTTTGTGTTGAACGTTTTCATCAAATAAATTCTCCGAAAATTTCACTTCATGATTTACAAGTCCAAATTTAAAAAATTCAAAACAATAATGAGTAGAGATTTTGTAGGCTGATTTCCAAGATTCTTCATGGGAAAATGAGCTTCTAACCTTCCTCTTCACATGTTAAAAGTTTCAAATTTTTCCGTTCACTAGTTTTCCAGGAAAATTTTGAAATGTGTGAGACGATATTTTCAACTAATTCAGTTTTTATAAGTAGATTTCCAAGATTTTTCATGTTATTTTCCGCTGAAAAAATTTGAAATTTTGAGAAAATGAGCTTCTCACCTTCCTCTCCACATGCAAAAAGTTTCAAATTTTTCCGTTCACTAGTTTTCCAGGAAAACTTTGTAATGTGTGAGACGGTATTTTCAATTAATTCAGTTATTGGAGGTTGATTTCCAAATTTCTTCATGTTTGAATTTTCCACTGGAAAAATTTGAAATTTTAGGAAAATTAGTCTCTAACATTCTTCTTCACATGCAAAAAGTTTCAAAATTTTCCTTTCATTAGTTTTCCAGGAAAATTTTGAATTGTGTGAGACTGTATTAACAATTATTTCCGTTTTTGTAAGTTGATTTCCAAGATTGTCCATGTTGTTATTTTCCACTGGAAAAATTCGAAATTTTGGGAAAATGAGCTTTTCCCCTTCCTCTTTACATGCAAAAAGTTTCAAATTTTCGCTTCCACTAGTTTTCCAGGAAAATTTTGAAATGTGTGAGACTGTATTTTCAATTAATTCAGTTATTGGAGGTTGATTTCCAAGATTCTTCATGTTTTTATTTTCCACTGGAAAAATTTGAAATTTTAGGAAAATTAGTCTCTAACATTCCTCTTGTTAAAATGTCAAATTACAGAAATGTGACACTTTCAAGATTTTAAAAAGTCTGTAATGTCGATATTACATATACGGTTGAAAATAATAGTATATTTCAATCCGAAGTGGGAAATGCTTCAATGCTGGTCAAGAGGTTATATAGTTTATCGAGTCGCGTAGCGTTGGGATCCTTCCTCTTTACATGCAAAAAGTTTCAAAATTTTCCATTCACTAGTTTTCCGGGAAAACTTTGAAATGTGTGAGACGGTATTATCAACTAATTCAGTTTTTGTAAATCGATTTCTAAGATTCTTCATGTTATCATTTTCCACTAGAAAAATTTGAAATTTTGGAAAAATGAGCTTTTCCCCTTCCTTTTTACATGCAAAAAGTTTCAAATTTTTGCTTTCACTAGTCTTCTAGGAAAACTTTAAAATGTGTGAAACTGTATTTTCAATTAATTCAGTTATTGGAGGTTGATTTCCAAGATTCTTCATGTTGTTATTTTCCAATGGAAAAATTTGAAATTTTGGGAAAATTATTCTCTAACATTCCTCTTCACATGCAAAAAGTTTCAAAATTTTCCCTTGATTAGTTTTCCAGAAAAATTTTGAATTGTGTGAGACTGTAAACAATTATTTCAGTTTTTGTGAGTTGAGTTCCAAGATTCTTCATGTTGTTATTTTCCACTAGAAAATTTTGAAATTTTGAGAAAATGAGCTTTTCACCTTCCTTTTTATATGCAAAAAGTTTCAAAATTTTTCCTTTACTAGTTTTTCAGGAAAATTTTAAATTGTGTAAGACAGTATTTTTAATTAATTCAATTATTGTTGGTTGATTCTCAAGATTCTTCATGTTGTTATTCTCCACTGGAAAAATTTGAAATTTTGGGAAAATGATCCTCTAACCTTCCTCTTCACATGCAAAAAGTTTCAAATTTTTGCTTTTACTAGTTTTCCAGGAAAACTTTGAAATGTGTGAGACTGTATTAATTTAGTTATTGGAGGTCGATTTCCAAGATTCTTCATGTTGTTATTTTCCACATATTGGAGGTTTATTTTCAAGATTTTTCATGTTGTTATTTTCCACTAGAAAAATTTGAAATTTTGGGAAAATGAGCTTCTCCCCTTCTTCTTTACATGCAGAAAGTTTCCTTCACCAGTTTTCTAAGAAAATTTTGAATTATGTGAAACAATATTTTTAATTAATTCAATTATTGTAGGTTGATTTCTAAGATTTTTCATTAAAATCTTGGGAAAATGAGCAAAAAGTTCCAAAATTTTCCCTCCATTAGTTTTCCAGGAAAACTTTGAAATGTGTGAGATTGTATTTTCAATTATTTCTGTTATTGTAGGTTGATTTCCAAGATTCCTCATGTTGTTATTTTCTACTGGAAAAATTTGAATTAAATTGAATAATTGGATAATTGAAAAACAATAAAAGTGAACATTTATTAGTTAGTTCTGACATTGTTTCAGTAGATGGAATAAACTTTAGAAGCGCATTGATTATGATTTCAGAAGAGGTACAAAATCTCCTCAAAAATGACCCTGAGTGCAAAAGAACTTCAAGCTACTTGAAGTTGATACAAGTTTATCTGTATCCAAATCCGAGTAGGTATGTATCCTAGTATCATATTATGGAAAAAAGGCTGAACGTTGAAAAAAGGGTTTATTTATTTCCAAATTATTGAAAAAGGAATAAGACTCATTTGCTGAGGTTCAGATTAAATTTATTATTTATGGTTTTGAAAACTTGTTCAACTTTTAGGAACGGTTTCATTCAAAATAAAAAGAAACAATATACCTATCCTCAATATTGTATAACAATATACGTACCTACCTAAGTTGTTTAAAAAGTAGCTACAGCTATTATTCTTGGTATTATACTGTATTATAGGTATTTGTTTTAATTTCCTAAAAAGATTTTTTTTATCAGTTAGGTAAGAATATCAAATGCGGGTTCAGGTTAGTTTAAACCCCTGCATTCTGGATTACCGAAAACCAATCATTAGTTCTAGCTCTAAAGTCAATTAACATAAACTTGCATTGGATCCTACTCTTGATCCTACTTGATAAACTGCTCTTGTATTTTAACTAATCGAGCAATTATGGGGATTTTTAGGGAATTTGTAAGAGACATTTGTGCGACATTTGAGAGGAGTTTGGAGGAATTTGCAGGAATCTGGAGGAATTTGCAGGGAATTTGTGGGGTATTTGGAGAAATTTGTGGTAGGGTATTTGGAGGAATTTCTGTTGGGGTATTTGGAGGAATTTGTAGGGAATTTGAAGGAATTTGCAGGGATTTTGAGGAATTATGCGTAAAAAATTTTGGGATGGTGGTTTACCCCTTGATTTTTCCCTTTATTGGTTCCAAAAAATCTATATTAATTCTATCAAAAACATATTAAGCCTCATCAAATTTGAGCAATGGAATTTAATTCGGGTTTTTCGAATTTACCATGCAAGCATTGCAATTTTTACCAAATATCAAATCCGCGCATAGTTTGAACAACTGGTCTTTAGATGAGGCTTCAAACTGATTTAATAGTGTTAACAAAGCTTCATAATATGCTGACTATTTGATCATTATTCTCAGCACTAATATTGGTAATCATGTTCTTGGCATAATTATTATAGCTTTTCTATAAAAATCTGCTTTTACCAAGACTTAGTATTCTTTTTGATCTTTATCTATTAAATTATGCCTTTTTAAAAAGCGAAAAAAATTAGAGCGATTTCACATTTCCAAGATTAGAAAAGAGTGGATCGAAAGCCTAAAAATAGTGCTATGATTTTTTTCCTTGTTGAACCTTTGGCAAAATGAAGAGTTTCACTAAAATTGCATTTTGAGTCTTTGAGAGCAGTCAAAATGACTTTAATTTTCAGGATAACTATAGAGTTTGGTTTATCCAGGGCATATAAACCAGAAATGGATCTATAACTCTGAAATGAAGTTAACATTTTTTCCAATTTAATTCTTGAAGCAAATTGATTTTTTTAATTGTTATAATTGCATTAGGAAACTTCTGAAAAAAAAATTCTAGACATCACAGCTACTCAACATCTCCCGAATTTAGGGATTCGAGGCTTCTTGTAAAAGTCCAAAACAAAGGAACATCAAGTTTAAATAAATTGATTTAAACTATCACTAGTACCTGTCATTGTTTATAGAAGAACCTTTAAAATTTTACAAATACAATGCATTATTAATTTCTTCCGTAATGTTAACATTTAAATGCTCCAAATGTTCGATTTTATCCTTGCCGATTAAATGTTTTATTCATCTGCACTTGATTAATTCATTAATGCAATGTTATTGGATGTACTGGTGGGATTTTTCTCGGGATTTGCCCATGAGCAATTATTATTGTGTTACTTATTGTCGTTTTTAGATCTGATAGCGGATTTAGACTCTCAATTAGCTGTAATAATACGATGTAAGATTCTATTGAAATCACAAAAAAGAAAGAAAATCGATGACGTTTTTTGTGGTAAGTAAATTTATTTGATAATCGGAACTTATGATAAAAATTCATTACTCAGCAGAATAAATACTCTGACTAGAAATTAACCTTTCAAAACTAGTTATCAGAAAAAAGAATTTCCGCATTTATCACGGATGTTTAAGAACGTTTTAAGGAAAAGACCAAAATTGTGCGAAATTTTCTCAAGTAAAAAGGGAAACCCACACATACACATAAATTGCAATATGCATAACTAGTGACGAATCAATTAACGCCTTCGAATATTTGCATTTCGTGTTTAGTTCATTATGGATTTGTAAAAGCTAATTAGGAGAGTTCTTTAATTGTTATGGCTCAATTTTGAAATAAGCGTACCTACGACACAGGATTGTATTTTACCATAAATAATTTTATTATGTCTACCAAATTCCTTTAAAATTTATAATTGAATACTTCAATACCGTGTACCTACCTACTCTTCTTAGCAGGTTTGGAATTTTCCCATTCATTTTAAAATTATTATCATAATATTTTCTTTAATACACAGGAAATTGAACTTAAAATGCATACTAATAACCAAAACCACTTCCCCCGTTTATTTTTCTCAATTGTAAGTGTTTTAAATTCAATGCCATTTTTAATTATTAAGTATAAACAATTTGGTTCAATAATTTTTTGAAAAGTAATGTATTCTGCTTTATTTGGATTTAATGAGACATAATTTACAATCGGAGGTATTTGTTCTAAATAAATATAGATTTTTTTCTTACATATTATTTATTGGACTGCATTCTGCAATATTCATTTGCATAATTTTATATTTTATAAAATCTTTTTAGACTTAATCCACTCAGGCTTAATTAATTTTATCATATTATTTTGGCATTTTAGTTTGACTTAAATTTAAACAATATGTAAATGCTACGGGATTTTTGAACTAATGATGATTCTCAGCCCAATTAGCTTCTTTTGATTTTTTCAGAAGTCTCCTTCAGGCCTGTAGCCAGGTTTTGATTCCAGAGGGGGCAATCGATTTAGAGGGGGCAAACTTATTTTTGTTTTTTTCAGCATTACTTAAAATCACGGACAAGGTGCAAAAACTTCACTTAGCAAAGTACAGGGTTATTGGTTATAAATGTCACCCCCCTCTATCTTTTTTATTTGACATTTTAAAAAAAAGTGTCCCAAATAAAAAATGTATGGTTGAAATTAAATTTTTTGAAAAACTCACTTTTGCATATACAGGGTGTTTCAAAAAAGCTTGGTCTAACTCCAACTTTCTTATTTTAAATTGAATACCCTGTATATTATTCAATATTCGGATTCTACGTCAAATTCTGAGCAGATTTCATGTGATATACCCTATACCTAAGTTCAACTGTTTTGGAAATATTGACAGTTGAAAATTGATTTTTTTGCAAATTTGACAGTCTGTAAAACCTAAATGGTTAACTTTTGAGCAAAACCGATCTTACATTTTTTTCTAAGATTTTTACAAGTTATCATTTGACACCAACTTTGAATTTAACCGAAGATCAAATTTAATTGGAATTTTCAATCATGGATTGAATTCAAAGTTGATGTCAAATATCGGTTTTCCTCTAAAATTAACTGTTTAGGATTTACAACCTGTCAAAGTTGCAAAAAATTCAATTTTCAACTGTTAATATTTCCAAAACAATTCAACTTAAAATCTGTTTTTTTTTTAAAGATAAAAGTCAAAATGACATTATGTTGGCAATACAATGTAAAATTGTCAATACTTTCAAATTTTTTATGTAGAAAAGGCTTGTGTTGCCAACATAGTTACTAGATTTTTGACTTGGGGAATTATCTTTAAAAAAAAAACACACTTTAGGTTGTTCAATATAGTATTTGAAATAAGAAATTTGAAGCACGAATAGCTTTTCTGAAACATCCTGTATATGCGAAAGTGAATGTTTCAAAAAATTTATTTTCAACCATAAAATTTTCATTTGGGGCCCTTTTTTCTAAAATGTCAAATAAAAAAGATAGAGGGGGGTGACATTTATAACCAATAACCCTGTACAGGGTGTCCCATTGAAGATGGGAATTGGGGTTATCTGCTAAACTCGTAGAGGTAGATTTTTTTTGATTTCACATTCCCGGGCCAATTTTTCATGACGAATCGAATGCCGCAAACCGCAGGTCTCTATCTTGTTTCGTTTGGGAGATACAGGGTGAAGCTTGAAATGTTCACTTTTCGAGGGTAGTCATTATCTAGCGTATAAAAAAAGATTTCAAAAAGGTGAAAATTGTGTCTGACGCAGTTTTTTACGTGGATTTCATTGGCGTACTGGAATTTTTTTTCCGAGGTACCTCTTGAGAGATATGATACAAAATTCATCTTTTTTAAATGGGACACCCTGTAAATTTTTACATTTTTGGAATACGCATAAAATTACCTTCCTGATGATATATAATTTGTCCATATTATGTTGTAACTTGCCAATATTATTATGGTATTTGAAACTTTCCATAAGAAATAACCCTTGCAAATCACATTGAATACTTGGTTTTATTTTCTGGTGTAATTTTTGGATGTGGACACCCTGTAAAATATTAGTTTATTAAATCCCGTATTTTTTTCCATTTCAACGATATAGATATTACACTTTGTAGTTATACCTCTTCATTACGGTCAAGAAATAGTTTCTGATTGCAAAGAAAATTGATGTCATTTCGGATTAACCGGTACCTACTTACAGCATATCTATCTATATCATATAAAAAATAATCAAATATCTCACTAATGCTCAGTAACTGAATTTAATAGTCTAATACTCGGTATTCACCTTCTAATAACCTGTCAGGCAATGCAATATGACGGATAAACTGGCAATTTATAAATAATCCGATTGGTTGGCCAGTTATCCGCAAACCAATAAGATAAGAGATTGGTCAATTTATCTTGTAGACAGTTATAGTCCTTGGGCCCAGATCTAAATTTATTATTTATGACCACACCGTCGAAACTTTTTGTATTTGCTATTTGGGTGGAGTCGGACAAATTTTGAGCTCAGCGCATTATGGTAGTGGGGCGTTTGTCTGTCAAGTTGTCACGAAGTTGTCGATTTTATGCAAGAAAAAAATTTATGACCACATTGCTAATTTTATTTTAATCAATAGTTTTTATCACATAAACAACGAAAAAAATGTGTCGGACAAAAATATTGGGACATTCGACGCGTCGGACACGTTGAATATGTCAAATTTATGGGATTTTTTTTTTATTACCACATGGCTGATTTGAACAGAATCTGCCATAAGAATATTTTACAATAACGTGGTAACCTTGTCGTTCAATTTTCACGGGGCATAGGCGCAGTCGGATGCGCCAAAGATGTCAATTTCCTGCAACAATTTTATTAACAACCATTTTTCCGACAAAAAAAGTAATTATATTCTAAATCAAAAAATCTAAGTGCCGGACAAAAATATTGGGGCATATCGACAGTCGGACAAAAAATGTAATTTTTATTGGTAATCGATATTTCGTAACTATACTGGGTTCAGGTATCCCTTTTTTTACAAATATTTTTCCGACAAAAGTAGAAGGTTACCAGTAGTTATATTCTTAAATAAAAAATGTAATTGTCTGACAAAAATGTTGGGGCAAACATCCAAGAAATTTAATTCTTATAGGAGGCTATCGACGTTCTTAAATTATAAGGATGAGTTAATGCTTATATTACTTTATACACAGTGTGTAAAAAGTCCCGGAACAGTCAATTATTTTGAAAATGGTGCACAATATAAAAAAACTTCCTGTATAAAAGTTGAAGGTCTTAATAAAGTCTATTGAAATAAGACTTTTGTAATTATACAGGGTGGCCCAAAAAGTTGTGCTATACAAAACTTCATTTTCTTTAAATGGAATGATCCTTTTCTAATTACATTTTCTAATTCCTCTAGAGATTCTAAACAACAATTATGAAACATGTCGATTGGCTAAACTTATTAGTTCTAGAAATAATTTGAGTTGAAGGACATAAATACGATATTACCTACATTTTGCATTGCTTCGAGTTAGTTCAAAATGGTCACCAGACCTTTTTGCCCCTTGATTATTTTCTTTGAGGACATCTGAAAAATAAAGTGTTTGTAACAAAACCTGCAGATCTGAACGAATTGAGAAGAACAATTATTGAAGAATGTGCATCTATTAACCAAGAAATGTTACAAAACGTCATCAATAAATTTTATTATAACCTAGCCCATTGTCTAACTGTGGGAGCAGGATATTTTCAGCATTTAATTAAATAACACCTTACACTTAATTTTATTTTTGTTCCTTCAAAGTTATTGTTAATTTTACTTTACTGCTTGTATTTAATAATTTAGTTATTATTAAAATTTTGACTAAACTTGAGTGAGGTACATTTCATTTAACACAAGTTAAATGTTTTTTTTTTTCAGGATTTAACGTGAAATATTTTGAACCAACTCGAAACAATG